ACATACACATCTTTGTGCCATATGTTTAATCATTATGATGTACATATCTTTGTTCCAAACTGTGTGACCATTATAATATACATATTTTTGTTCCATGTTGTGTTACAATTATATAATACATATCTTTGTTCCATGTTGTATAATATTTATAACATACAAATCTTTGTTCCCTCTTGTGTTACAATTATATAATACATATCTTTGTTCCATGTTGTATAACATTTATAACATACAAATCTTTGTTCCCTCTTGTGTTACAATTATGACATACATATCTTTGTTCCAAATTGTGTGCCTATTATGACATACATATCTTTATTCCAAATTGTGTGACCATTATGACATACATATTTTTGTTCAATGTTGTGTGGCCATTATGACATACAAATCTTTGTTCCCTCTTGTGTTGCAATTATATAATACATATCTTTGTTACATGTTGTGTGACATTTATACCATACAAATCTGTGTTCCATGTTGTGTGACATCTATAAAATACATATCTTTGTTCCATTTTGTGTGACATTTATAACATACAAATCTGTGTTCCATGTTGTGTGACATTTATAAAATACATATCTTTATTCCACATTGTTTAAGGCTTTTGTATAATCAGGTTTGAATGGAACAAATAATAACCCCCCTAATCAAGTACAAGCTTGATTAGTCATGTAAAGTGAGTACTACATAGCATACCCTTACTTATAAGTCCGACGAAAATCGCTAGGTGTACTAGTGTAGAGTGTGTGACGATACCCATATATTAACATTTTTGAGATTACCAAAATGTGTATCTTGAGATGGCTAGAAATACAAGTCTAATTATCACGTGTACACTATATTGCTTTCTGATTGGGTAAGGGGAACTAGTTAGCGTCACTTAATTATGCAAGTTTATCTGATTGGCTAAGAGCTTGAGACCAGATTAATAGCGTCACTCGATCATTCAACAGCAGTAGCGATAAGAACAACACAGTTTTGTCTCCCGATATTTTGTCAGAATTCTTTGGATCCTACCCAGTGGACACACTACGTCCGGAGAACGTCCGGAAAACGTCTTATACTGGTCACAACGTCCGGGACTTAAAAGCAACGATGTGAGGACGTCTTTTTCCAAACGTCAGGGCCACGTTTGAAAAAGACGTGGTAGTAACGTTGTACTAAGGTTACTTAACTAACTTTACGGTAATGACGATAAAATCATTTCAAATAAAAAAGAAATGCGAATACTTTGGAGTTTGTATCATCAGTATAAAACGCAATGATCGTAGCGAGACGAATGAGTAAAATTGAGATGTATGCGGGAACTTTTTACTTTAATTAAATAAAATGGATATTAAATCCTGTATATAACAAGATATTTCCAAAGACATGCTTTATTTTAATTATTGCATTTAAAAATTATTCCAATAATGGCTAAACAAACATTTCAAAAGCATTAAAGCTGTTCTTACTGCAGCAGCGATATAACGACCATATCACTTTGATGTTGTCTCCCCTTATTTTGAAAACTTGTCCGCTAGAGGCCAGCATCCCGTATAAAATAAAATATATTCTTTTGTTTATTGTCGACATCGGTAGCATCCAAGTTGCTTAAACATATCATAAATAAAAGATAATTTACATTGTAAATGCTAAATTTGGTGTATAATGACGGAAAGAAAAAATAACACAAAGATTTACGCGGTATTTCGTACTTCCGGTTCTTTGTTTGCCCATTCGATTCAAACTGACCACTGCATGGTCAAAGGGGGTCACACTAACTGGATTTTTGTTAATAGCTAGCTGCACAGTCTGAATGTTTGAAGATGTTTCAATATCAACTAAGGTAACTTATTGATGAAGTTTTTTTCGTACAGTTTCCTTTTTGACACTTTTAATATTTGTTTACAAAAACATCGACAGAGCGTGTGTAAACATCTGATACATGCATTCTCGTATTATATTCCAGATCAATTATCTGTGCTTTATATGTAGTCCAAACACGTTATGTGCACTGTCAAAAGGAAGACTGAACGAGACAAACTTATTCAATTATTAATGAGTTGCTATTTACAAACGTATTCAAACTGCCAATTAAACAATTTTCACTTGTAACGCTGTTTGTTGTTTTTTATTCGTCTGCATTACAGGGTGCGTTACAAATATCTTTTAAATGCATATGCTTAGTATGCGGATGTGCTGTGATTCATATCAGTATAGCATATGTGTATGTTTTTCAGATATGTGTTACGAACTCCTGTATATATTCGATTATAAGTACGACGTGGCGACAACATCTGTACAACGTTTTATAAACGTTGTCAAAATGTTACACACAAACGTTTTGCGAACGTCACTTGAAAACGTTCCCCAAACTTTCATTTGCAACGTTACTGCTACCTATATGCAACGTTGTGTCCTGACCTAACTGCAACGTTTTCAGGACGTTTTGTGCCCACTGGGTACGGACGTTAATTTAAACCAGGACATATATAACTGCAAACATAATAACAAGGAAACATGTAGGCGTTAAATATAGACGAGAACCAAAGGATATCCGAGAGTTCGGATCGAAAACCAAAACATTCGCTGCGCGCCAAGTAAAAATTGTTAACATGGCGAGCCGTAGGTCGAGAACCACAACCAGAACCGCCCCGTGGGATAATTCCAACCACAACAACTGGACAATCATACAGTTAAGATCTGAGCTGGACAAGATTGGAATCCTCGCACCATCAACGGGAATTACGAAAGCCGCACTTAAAACTATGTATCTTGAAAATGTGGGAAGGCGGCGTGAAAGTGGGGTTGTACGAGGCCGCCCAGTTCGGGGACTAGTGAATTCGAACCAGGACGTGATTAGTTCAGACAATGACAATAGTAGCTTAACACCTATGCCCGTGTCGGACGTCAACACCACGACAAATGCTAGTACATCCGAAAATTGTACGGAACTACTTCGATGTGCCGAGGCTCTGTCAACCGCATCACCCATCACCACACATGAAGTCGGTATGCGGACGTCAACAAACATGGCCGCGCCCAGTGTGAATGTTGTGGAGGGACTCCTTTCGTCAATGCAGGGTATGCAGAAAACAATGATGGACCTGCAGCAGACTGTTATCACTCTCGTCTCCAACAGCAATAAGGAACGTCAACCCACAGACGTATACACAATAGAGAAATCATACGCGGTTACCAACACACACGCTGCGGCTGCCACGAACTCTACAGGACAATCAGGTAATTACTTTGACTCTTTATCTGATGGTATCTCGTCCGAGAGCATCCCTCACTTGGACATTGTGTCTGACAATAACAAAAAGAAAATCCTTGAGGGGAGATACATCAATCTGGCCTCCTTGTTAATTCCCAAATAC